TTTCTTTCTTTCTTTCTTTCTTTCTTTCTTTCTTTCTTTCTTTCTTTCTTTCTTTCTTTCTTTCTTTCTACTTATTTCCTTTTGAATGTTTTCAAAAAACTTACATTTAGAAAATGTAAAGAATGTTGAAGCCTGTAAAATAAAAAGTAAATAATCTACCCCACCCTTCCCACAAAACCCGTTTCCTGCCTTTCCTCCACCCACTCTCCAGGGCAAACTCTTAATAACTCTTGATAAGCTCAGTGGATAGTGTCCCAGGCCAGTTTCTGAGTGTGTCAACATTCATCTAAATAGAGTTGTTCTCAATAAAATGTCCCATATAGTTGGAGGGAAAAGTTTGTTATTGCTGTTTTAATGTTCTCCTAGTACATATGCTCTGTAACTTACATTTTTTTTACTCATCAGTGTATCTTTGGTATCCCTTGTGTTGAGACACACAGATTAGCCTTAGAAAATTTTTTTTAAGGTTTTATATTTAAGTAAACTCTATACCCAACATGGGGTTTGAACTCACGACTGCAAGATCAAAAGTCACAGGCTCCATCAGCTGAGCCAGTCAGGCGCCTCAAACCTCAAACTTTGTAATGGTTGTAAAGCATTCTAACTTTTGTTCATTTTCAACAGAACATATACCTGACTTCTTCTGAAAAAAAAAAAAAAGGAAGGAAGCAGGTTTTGCGATTTGAGAGGTTATTTTTCCTAAGAAAATAGTTTCCTCTTGGAAGCTTCTAGAATATTGACGCTAAAGACTGTTTTGTTCTATTGTTTTGATAATGCAGGTCGTAAGTGTAAGAGTATCCCCTAAGGAATCTTGGGAAACAGTCACAGCCTAGTTTATCTTTGTCTCTTTTCAAATGGGATTTATGAGTTTATTTACTATTTTTCTGGTTATAAAAATAATATATCTCTACTATAGAAAATTTGAGAAAAGGTATTTAAAAAATTTTTTTGAAAGTTAAATTCAAAAAAAATTCCAAGAAAAGAGTTAAAACCACAAATAAACCCACCACCCCAAGAGAGCCGTTTAGATCTTGATGTCTGGTTAATCTTTCCTTTTCGTTTGCAAGTGCGTCCACGTGCACTTTTTGTAAAAATAGAATCATATCATACAGACTCTTGTACCTGCCTGTTTACTGAACCATCTGTGATCTACCTATAAGCCATTTCTAACTTTTCACTATTTGAAACAGTGATTTGGCAAATGAACACGTAGGTGCGTCTTGCACACTCTCATAGTGATTTCCTCCGGACGCGTTCTGAGGGCTGGAATGGCGGCATCCGGTGTGCTCTGCCTGGTTGTTCCAGCAAGCCAGTGTCCTCCCCAGGTACACATAGGAGAGGGCTCATTCACCTGTACCCTTACTGGTACCAGGGTGGAATGCTTTTGTGTACAGAATACAAATCTCTATTTTCACATAGGAGAATTCCTTAAAGCAAGGCCCGTCATGGTAGAATAAAAATAAGGCACAGTTGTCCCGTTGGAAGGGACTGCATTCAACACACTGAAAATGCTAGTCTACACAAAGAGCTGAAACAGTATGGAAGCGCCGTCTCTTAGGGCGGGCTGAGTACCAGGTACCGAACAGATCCCGGCGAAACAATGGTCATGGAAGTTTCCAAAACATATTTCTCTGCTTTATCTCTTTTACAGGTTTTGGAACCATTTTCAAATAAAACTACCTTTAACACCACCCAACTGGAGGTCCTTCCTGATGCACTGTGGGTAGAGCAGACCTGAGCTTCCCAGGTAAGGCATCCTGGAGGTCTGGGAGACACCCTTGTTGTAAACCTCATCACACCCTTTCTGGCATCTAAATTAAGTAGGCACCATACCTGCTAGAAAACCTGACTTTCGGGGGAGTGAGAAGAGCTAACATTACAAGAAGAACATTCAAGTTTAAAAATAAGTAAATAAAATGAATAGTGGGTGCATCCAGTCCAAGTCCATGGAATCTTCAGTCTGCTTGAGGTGAACACACAGCCAGTTAATAAACACGACAGAAATTATCCCAGGTAGTGAGTGTTCAGAGCTAAATCCTGAACACATGCAAAGCAGCAACAAGAACCAAAGGGAGCAAAACTAGAGACAGAGTATGATGGAAAACCTCACCTCTCCATTTGCAATAAATTCTCTCTCTCTTTTTTTTTTTTCAGGCTGATGGAGATCAGCCTGTCTGGCTCAAATTAGATTGACATTTCTTCCTACCACTTGGGATGTAATTTTACTAAATGAATTAAAAGTTATGTTTCCTCACACTTACTGTTAGAAAGATCACGTAATATTACTACAAAGATAGTGTATTCTTTGACTCATGTGTTTATTTATATGTTTATTTATTCCACAGACAGCTATCCCATCACATGGTGTCATAATAATCTGTTTTCTTTTCTGGTCAGTAGACTCTGAATTTCTTAAAAGTAAATACTCTTGCCTGTGGCTTAGCACAGAGCCCAGAGCACACGCGATTTTATTCATGGTAGGCAATAAGGAAGGAAGGAACTGTGAATTTCTGTCTCCCACTGTCAGTATGACTTGCCCCTTAAACTGGGCATCAGTGTCCTTACCAGTAAAATTAAGGATCAAAGTAGAACATTTTTTTCAGTTGTGAAGTTCTTTGTTCTATACTCCAGTTCTTTGTTCTGTTCTCCAGTCTAGCACAAGGCATTGGGCTAGATCTTCTAAATTACGGTATAAGCTAGAGGGGATGCTAAGGGAATTCACATATAACTGGATTATAAGGTAGACTATATTTGTGTTACAAACACTGAGGAGAGAGAGATTATGTCTGACCTTTTGAAATGACCAGGAAGAGCATTCTGGAAAAGGTAGTCTTTGGGTGGGGAGGGGAGGTGGCGTTCAGAGAGTGGCTCAGAGTTTGGGTAAAGTTCTTCGTAAAGCAGAAATGGAGGGGAGGAGTGGTAGAAAGAATATTCCAGACAGCAAGAGTGGGTGAAGTCAAAAGGAAGAAAAATGCAAGGTGGATTAGAGCCTTGGCAAGTCCTCCCAGGGTGACAGAGAAATGAGGGAGGCAGAGAAGAGGCATGAGCAGTGCTGGGAGAGTAGAGTCAGGGGGGCTCAGTGGAGATGCCGAGCATGTTCACTGGTTAGGAAAGCCAGGAAGCACGGAAGGATGGAGAAAGCACAGAGGTCAAGGTCTTGGAGCTGGAGCAGTTCCGAGAGATGGTCCAAGGTGCTTCTGTGTAAGTGGGTGGATGAACTGGAGCAGAGATGAAGGTAAGTCAGGAGGTCAGCATGTGCATTTTGCAGTTGTTGTGTCAAGGAAGCAATAAAGTACAGTGGTCAGCACCTCAGACTTGGAATCTGACTTCTCCAGTTAAAATCTTGGCTCTGTCATCTACCGTGTGACCTTGGGCAAATTAGTGAGCCTCCTGTGTGTCCGGTTTTCATCTGTAAAGTGGATCTAATAATGACACCTGCCTCACAGGGCTGGGTCACGTGTCAGGCACTTCTCAAAGAGTGAGTAGCACATGGTAAGTGAGGAATAAACACGGACCCTCTCCACCTGATGAAATCAACAGGAGCGTCCTGTGACCTACAGTGTCACTTGGCGAATCCGGCAAAAGTTGGGAGAAGAGTCATAGTCCAGCTCACATTCCAGTTTCAGTTTCCTGCTGACCTCGAAGCCTCAAAGGCTATGTAACTCCAGCTGAAGAATAAGATTAAAAATTTGTCCCAGGGGCGCCTGGGTGGCTCAGTAGGTTGAGCGTCTGACTGTTGATTTCAGCTCAGGGCATGATCTCAGGATTGTGAGATTGAGCCCCACGTGGGGCTCTGTGCTCAGTGTGGAGCCGGAGAAAGAGTCTCTCTCCCTCGCCTTCTGCCCCTCCCCCCTCTTGTATGCACGCTCTCTCTAAAATAAATAAATCTTTTAAAAATTTGTCCCAATGCAATGAAAAATGAAAGTATTAAAGTGAGATTTCTACTTAGTTATCTTTAGTTCACAGAGATGCTAAACAAACATAGAAAATTCAAGAATTTACTGATGCTACATCTTGAATGCAGGAAGCTTATACCAAAGAGACTTACGCCTTATTGACATCAAGAATGGATAATTACATGTTGCACTTGTGAGATGTTCACATATCTTATGTTTGTGGGTCACTACATAGCCAGATAATTTATGTTTTACTTATTCCATACCCAATTCTCTGAAAAAGAACCGATGGCCATGCAGGAACAGATCGTCTATGGGAAACAAGGCATAATGGAAGGAGATTGAATCCAAGCATTGAAGAAATAGAATAAGAGGAGACACAATTCTCTAGGGGACAACGAGGAAACCAGAAAGGGGTGGGGGAGCAAAAGTTGGGTTAGAAAAAGAGAAGAAAGAAGAGAAATAGATAAATGAATGACCATAAGAAGGAAACAGGAAGGAGGAAAAACTTAAAATAGAATTGTAAAAGGAGAATGTACTAATAGACATTTTGTTCCTTAATAGATTGATTCCGCAAATAGGGTGCACTCACAGAATCAGGTAAGAGGGCTCATGAGCTGTTTTCAGTTTTTCAGAGAGCTTTGTTGAAATCATACATTTGTCAAAACAAGGCTGCAGAAGCTTCCCTCAATGGTAAAATTTCATTGAGACTGAAATGATACCGATTCAGGGACAAAATTAGTCATTTCATGCTTATAAATTCTAACAAATGGAAAGTTCTTTGATTGATAAAAAATATGAATACTAACTAGTAATAAAGTAAGTTTTATAGACAAAAGTCTTTTAAAATCGATAGAAAAATCAATAATAAAAATCCATACCTTGAAAAAATTGGGAAATTCTCTTCTGAACATGTGAAAACATTGTTTCAGTGGTGAAGACAGGCAACTAATTTATCTGTTTCTGCTACTGACTGTGTAGTTCTTTTTTAATTTTTTTATTGTTATGTTAATCACCATACATTACATCATTAGTTTTTGATGTAGTGTTCCATGATTCATTGTTTATGCATAACACCCAGTGCTCCACGCAGAACGTGCCCTCTTTAATACCCATCACCAGGCTAACCCATCCCCCCACCCCCTCCCCTCTAGAACCCTCAGTTTGTTTTTCAGAGTCCATCGCCTCTCATGGTTCGTCTCCCCCTCCGACTTACTCCCTTTCATTCTTCCCCTCATGCTATCTTCTTCTTTTTCTTTTTTCTTAACGTATGTTGCATTATTTATTTCAGAAGTACAGATCTGTGATTCATCAGTCTTGCCCAATTCATAGCACTCACCATAGCACATACCCTCCCCAATGCCTATCACCCAGCCACCCCATCCCTCCCACCCCCCACCACTCCAGCAACACTCAGTTTGTTTCCTGAGATTAAGAATTCCTCATATCAGTGAGGTCATATGATACATGTCTTTCTCCGATTGACTTATTTCACTCAGCATAACACCCTCCAGTTCCATCCACGTCGTTGCAAATGGCAAGATCTCATTCCTTTTGACGGCTGCGTAATATTCCATTCTGTATATATACCACCTCTTCTTTATCCATTCATCTGTTGATGGACATCTTGGCTCTTTCCACAGTTTGGGTATTGTTGACATTGCTGCTATAAACATTGGGGTGCACGTACCCCTTCGGATCCCTATATTTGTATCTTTGTGGTAAATACCCAGTAGTGCAGTTGCGGGATCGTATGGTAGCTCTATTTTCAACTGTTTGAGGAACCTTCATACTGTTTTCCAGAGTGGTTGCACCAACTTGCTTTCCACCAACAGTGTAGGAGGGTTCTCCTTTCTCCGCATCCCCGCCAACATCTGTTGTTTCCTGACTTGTTAATTTTAGCCATTCTGACTGGTGTGAGGTGGTATCTCATGGAGGTTTTGATTTGGATTTCCCGGATGCCGAGCGATGCTGAGCACTTTTTCATGTGTCTGTTGGCCATTTGGATGTCTTCTTTGGAAAAATGTCTGTTCATGTCTTCTGCCCATTTCTTGATTGGATTATTTGTTCTTTGGGTGTTGAGTTTGATAAGTTCTTTATAGATTTTGGCTACTAGCCCTTTATCTGATATGTCATTTGCAAATACTTTCTCCCATTCTGTCGGTTGTCTTTTGGTTTTGTGGACTGTTTCTTTTGCTGTGCAAAAGCTTTTTATCTTGATGAAAACCCAATAGTTCATTCTTGCCCTGGCTTCCCTTGCCTTTGGCGATGTTCCTAGGAAGAAGTTGCTGCGGCTGAGGTTGAAGAGGTTGCTACCTGTGTTCTCCTTTAGGATTTTGATGGACTCCTGTCTCACGTTTAGGTCTTTCAACCATCTGGAGTCTATTTTTGTGTGTGGTGTAAGGAAATGGTCCAGTTTCATTCTTCTGCATGTAGCTGTCCAATTTTCCCAACACCGTTTGTTGAAGAGACTGTCGTTTTTCCATTGGACATTCTTTCCTGCTTTGTCAAAGGTGAGTTGACCATAGAGTTGAGGGTCCATTTCTGGGCTCTCGATTCTGTTCCATTGATCTATGTGTCTGTTTTTGTGCCAGTACCATACTGTCTCAATGATGACAGCTTTGTAATAGAGCTGGAAGTCCGGAATTGTGATGCCACCAGCTTTGCTTTTCTTTTTTCAATATTCCTCTGGCTATTCGGGGTCTCTTCTGGTTTCATACAAATTTTAGGATTATTTGTTCCATTTCTTTGAAAAAAGTGGGTGGTATTTTGATGGGGATTGCATTGAATGTGTAGATTGCTCTTGGTAGCATTGACATCTTCACAATGTTGGTTCTTCCAATCCATGAGCATGGAACGTTTTTCCATTTCTTTGTGTCTTCTTCAATTTCTTTCATGAGTATTTTATAGTTTTCTGAGTACAGATCCTTTGCCTCTTTGGTTAAATTTATTCCTAGGTATCTTATGGTTTTGGGTGCAATTGTAAATGGGATCAACTCCTTGACTTGTCTCTCTTCTGTCTTGTTGTTGGTGTATAGGAATGCCACTGATTTCTGTGCATTGATTTTATAGCCTGCTACTTGACTGAATTCCTGTATGAGTTCTAGCAGTTTTGGGGTGGAGTCTTTTGGTTTTCCACATATAGTATCATACCA